CAGCTGATCAACATCTGAGTTGATTACATATCTTAGCTATGTGAATAGAGCTGCTGTAATCTATTAATTCAAACTAATGTAGGTGTTGCTGTGAAGATACTTTATAGAAGTAAACAATCCTAATCCATTTGACTTAACTAAGGGAGATTGCCCTTCATATTCTCGCTTATAGGAATCAATAAATTGAGAGACCTTTTTTAAAAAAAAGATGTATTTATTTACTTGAACGCCAGAGTTATAGACAGAGAGAGGAAGAGACAGAGACATCTTCCATACTCTGGTTCACTTCCCAAATGGCCGCAACAGCCCAAGCTGAGCTGATAGAGCTGGGATCTTCTGGATCTCCCATGCAGGTGCAGGGGCCCAAGCATTTTGGCCATCTTCTACTGTTTTCTCAGGCAACAACAGAGAGCTAGACCAGAAGAGGATCAGCCAGGCTCCGAGCGCGCCTCCCCCGCCCGCTGCCGCGCGCTCGGCCGCCGGGCCCGCTGCGCCCGGGTGCTGAGGGCGCCCGCCGGCCCCGGCTCCGGCCGCCCCTTGGCGCTCCACTTCCGCACAACAGGTGGAAACTCGCCGGGGGCGCGGGCTGCGGGGGCAGGTGGTCGCACGGTGGCAGCTGCCGTCTCATCTGCGGGCTCGGGTCTCGTCCCGTTGACTGTAAAAATCGTATCCCCTCACCAAAGCCACGCGAGCCGCAGGCAAATCCGCGGCCAGTGCGGCTGGTGGGATTAGTTATCTCCAGGCGCCCCTTCCGCCTCTCCTAGGCGGTCCGGGGACCGGGGGGCTTCCCGGCGCGCTGGCGGTCGGGGTCCGCAGTTAGGACCCTGGACCGCGGGCGCGGGCGCTGGGGTCGGCGGCTGCGGGCGCGCCGCGCTCAGGTTCGCGGCCGTGGAAAGGCCTCATGACTCCTGGGTTCCCGTCGGTGCGTGCGGCCGCAGTAGCAGCGTCGGCTCCGCAGCCCGGCTTTGGGCTGCGGGCGTCCGGGTTGCGGCTCCCCCTCCCCCACAGCCACCCTCGGGGCCTGGGGCTCCCGTGCGGGAGACGAGCTGCCAGCCTTCCCGCCCCTCGCAGGTGGGAACCCGACTACTCCCCTGCGTGCACACCGGCTTTCTTCCGTCCGTCCGTCCGTCTGTGCGCCGCCCCACTCTTGGGATGGGGGCGATGAGGCAGTTTCGTATTTTTAAAGGGAATTCCGGTCGCAGGCCTCTGAGAGCAGGCTGTTTTCTGCTTGCATGTGCGCATCACCAGCCCCGTCCGCCAAGAGGCGTCGATGTAGCTGGCTGGCTTATTTTTTCCGTGAAACGTCCAGAGCTACAGCAGTGTTTGCATATTGTGTATCTGCTGTCCTGGCGCCTTAGCACCTTCAGCCGGCATACCTGGGGGTAAGGCTTGACGAGATGTCTCGAGCTTCTTTCCTTGAGTCACGCAGCTGCGGGCGCGGGGGGTGATTTTGCCGCGCCGTGTTGCAGAGCTTGGTGGATCGCGGTTGGTCTGGGTGCAGGACTTGCCTTTGTTAATTGTCCTCAGGCCCCGGCTCAAGTGGGCTCTGCAGGAGGACATCCTCAGTTGTGAATGGGCAGCTTTGGCTGCCTACCCCCAGGCAGTAACTGCTTCCGAAACAAACTGCCTCGGTGGAGGTATTTCAGTCAGTTTGTGCTCAAAGGTAAACTTTCTGGAATCTGCCCTGGAACGACTGGCTCGGGCGTAAGTGAACTACAGACCGTAGTATATCCAGTTCCTGAGCATTTTGATGAATGAACTGGCTATGCTTACACTTAATATACAAGCCAGCCGTGTGCCTGTCAGAGAAATATCCAAAAGAAATTAAATTGACTGCCACCTCCTTTATAGAAACCAACTCTTCCATACTTTGCCTAGACATTCTGATTTCCAAGGCAAGCATTTTGTATATGTATGGTCTTTTAAATAATTATCGTTATAGTTTAACTAAAAGCTTCATTTTGGCTCTACATCTTTTTCCTGTTTTTCTTTCGTTCCTAGCCTGGATTCCTATTAATGTTTTTAGTGCTCAGAAGCACATGTGTGAGCAGGTTCGGAAGAAGGAAAGTGAAAGTGTGTTTTTTAAAATCTATCTAGCAGTATTTTGGGAGAACAAGTGAGGATTTGTTGAATGTTAGCAACTTGAGAAGAACTTCTGTATATATCTAGAACGTGTGACCTGTATGGGAATATGGGACTCAGAGTAAGTATTTCATTCTTATGGACATGCATTCCAGTGCTGCAAGTTATTTTAAAAATTATCACAAGTTTGTATGGAGATCATTTTGAGTGGGGTTGAGACCAACAAGAGATGAAAATTGCCGCCTCAAATGGCAGCATTTCTTGAGGGATTAATTTTACTCCCTTTTTAGAGCTTGTTATTATGAGGTAGAATCCTCTTTTTTTTTTTTTTTTTAAAAAAAAAAAGACTTATTTATTTATTTGAAAGGCAGAGTTACAGAGAGGCAGAGAGAGAGAGGTCTTCCATCCGCTGGTTCACTCCACAGATGGCTGAAACAGCCAGAGCTGCACCAATCCTAAGCCAGAGCCAGAAGCTTCTTCCAGGTCTCCCAGGCAGTGCAGGGGCCCAAGGTTTTAGGCCACCTTCTGCTTTCCCAGGCCACAGCAGAGAGCTGGATTGGAAGTGGAGCAGCCGGGACACGAACCGGTGCTGGCACTGCAGGCGGCAGCTTTACCCGCTGTACCACAGCGCCAGCCCCTAGAATCCACTCTTAAATGGCTCTCTCTTTTGTGTCCTTGTGCAACTGTTGTGATCTAATTTGGAGGCACTTTAGAATCTCAGGTGGTTATAAAAATTATCTGTAAAGTGTTGAGAATCATATGCATGTGCTTGTCAAAGAAGGATTGAAAGTTGATGTGCTGCCCATAGAATGAGACATTTGTTAGGCATAATGAAATATAGTGTGCATGTATGTATTCCTTGTTTAAAAAGCTTATTTCTATGGGTATATCTCTGTTCTCAAGAACAATCCTATCACATTCCTTGTGGCAGAAAATATTTACTTTTTTAAAGGATGAACAGTTTTTCAGTATATTTCATTATTGCTTTTTAATCAATAGCCAAAGTAAGCAACATCTGAAGACACTTGGAAGCAAGTTTTTCAGTTCGCCACTAGAGGATGCTGAGTCCTGTCTCAGTCTGTTGTGAGTGGTCACGTAGATGGGTGATGTTCACAGAACTGCCTTTGCCGACGCTTTGCATGTTTAGTTTTAAGCTCATGGTCAAGAGCTGTGGAAAACGAGTGTGCAGAATTAATGTCCCAATCTGGTCACCTTATTCTTACACACCTACTGAATAGAAAGCAAATTTAGAGTTGCTTTTGGTAATTAATGAGGCCATACTTTGATGCACCAGGGAATAAATTGATACTTGTAATCTGTGAATGACTTAGAACCTGGAATTGGGCTTTTTTTCTGTCTCTCTCTCTTTAGCAGGCTGTGT